CGCTCTGCACCCCCTCCCGCAGCCAGCTGCTCAGCGGCCGCTACCAGGTAGGGCGCGGGCCGAGGGGGCAGCCGGACGAACTCGGTCCCGGAGGTGTTGCCCCAGCGCGGCCGTGGCCGCGGGAGAGCCGCCGGGGCTCCCTCCGTCCCTCCCCGGCAGCGGCGACGTCCTCCCGGCCCCTTCCCGGCGAGCTGGTGGGGCGCTTCTGGCCTCCGTGTTTTCAGCAGCGCCGTGTGTAGTTTGGCCTTGTCGTATCTCATGGAAAGATGCGTTCGGGAGAAGGCTACTGCGCGAAAACCGGTTGCGCTTATACGCGGACAAACTTACTCCACTTACTTCTGGCTTGCTAGCTCAGCGGTAAACGAAGCACGAGCTTAGTGCAAGTTGTTCTGCTTCAGAAAAGCTGAGGTGCCCTCTATGTTTCAGTTTTATGAACAGGCATGGCACTGTATCATGAAAAATATTTCCGACATAGCTGCCTTCCTTTAGGTGCTTCTGAACTGGACAGGTGTGTGGTGAACGCACAGCCAGAAGCCGATGAGCAGCACTATGTGCTCAGTTATGCAGCTTGTTTTCCAGTGTAGTGTTTGAGTGCATCCTAACCTGTACATTCTTCTTTGTATGGTAACATAGGTGTAGGCATTTATGCTCCCCTTGGTGGAGTGCACACAGACCGATCCTTAGTCAGGGCATCCAGCTGCTTCGTAACCCTAGTCATGATTTATTCCATGTTTTTCAGTTGCACAGGTGTAAGAATTGCACTTTATTGCACTGCTGTAGTCCCCTTCCCCCTTCTTTTTATTGCAACTTTGGCAGAAACAAGGCGAGGGGAAAGAAGAATACAGCATGAACAGAAAGGAGAACTCCCAAAGGGTTAAGTGTATTTCAAAGACCTCTGCACTCTCTCACAATGTCCCGCACATGGATATTAACTGTATGTGCAAAGATTTGTCAAAGAGAGAGTTCAGAATGAAAATAAATATCATCCTTTGTTAGTAGACGTAATTGCCTGTTGTTGAAGGAAGGTTGTCGTACGTGATACTTTTTGCAAGCAAACATTTGGTCTGTTTTCTAGAAACTCCGAGAGTCTATAATAAAGAATAGGTAATTGATTTTTTTTTTTTAACCAGCTCTTCAAAATATTTTATGTAAATAACCTAAAACATTTTTTCCTTTTGACTATTCCTATAATACAGTTCATACTCTGAACATTTTTATCTAGGAATGGGTCAGCACTAAGTGGACAGTGCTGCATCTAATCTTTAAAGTGGAAATTGGAAATGCTCATAGTTGAGTCCTGATTTAAATTCATCATATGCTTCTGACTTGATAACTTAATCATTTTCATGTTGACCTTGTTACAAATGAGTGAAATAATCTTTGAAAATGGAAGTAGTTTTTCTGTAAAATTGAGGAGACATGTGCAGGAGATAATTATGTAGCAAATATGTGGGATTTGGTTGGGTTTTTTTTTGTTGTTGTTGTTGTTCGTTTTTTTTACTCAATGGTATGATTAACAATTGCTCAGAGATTTGAAAAAGTAACCTGAATCTGATCCTATCTGGAGTTGGGATTTTAATAGTTCTCCTTCGATCTATAAAGAAAGAAGAGCAAAGACAATGGTTTATGAAAGCTATAATTTTTTATTAGTAGTATTTTCCTCTTCTTTTTCTTGATTTCTAGAGACAATGGAAGATATTACAATGCTTTGCTAGCCTGTGTCTTTCACTATAGTAATTACATTTTTGTAATGCTGGGTTTAAAAAGAAGAAATTTTTTTTTCCAGTTCCTGTTTCGAAGAAGATTAGTAACTAGTAGGCCCATTGTGAGAGTCTACTTACCCACTTGTCTAAGATCAGGGCTTATGTGGTTTAAAAGTGAGTTCAAAGTGTTACTATGATGCTTAAAAAATTAATCATGCAGCTTGCTACACTGTGCTTAGTGGAGTTATAGTATCTGATGTCTTGTGCTCTAGGGGGTCTTGGAGCTTTTGTGCTTTGACAGAGGTAGATTACTAGGAATACTTAGTAGGTAAATAAGGTGTGCTGGTTTTTGTTTTTGTTTTTGTTTTTTCTGGAGGAGGAGACGGAGTTGTCAAAAGTCAACTTACAGTACAAAGTAACTGAAGAGATTTCTTGCATCTTTTGCAAAAATGTAGTACTCCGAGTATCTCTATCAGTCATGTTTTTGTAAAGAGATACACCACTTGTTAAGTGAAGAGATGTTCACCACTTGTTAGGTTTGGAAACTTAGATGGCACTGTTAAGAGGTGAGATCTAGGTCTGGAGCTTGTGTTATCCCTAGTATCTAAATGCCTTTTTTGGAAAAGTGAGCTCACGCTCACTTTAAGCATGTAAATCAATATATAATGTATGTATATAATGTACATTTAGAATAGTAATGCAAAAAGCGCTCTCTTAGCCTTTGTCACCTTTTCCTCCGGTGACTGTTCTCTGGTACAGGCAAAAGCTGGGCAGCTTCACTTGCCATGTGCCCATTTGCCCATTTCCATCCCATTTATAAATCTGTCACTCCATGTTGAGGTGTTGTCCCTAGCTTGCAGAGAGACCATAATGGTTGTTGTTACCTGTTATGTTTTTAGATGAAAGCGCAACAGGCTTTACTTTTTTTTATTGCACTAGATTCATGCCTGGGAAGATCTCGTAAAACCCTGCAGTGCTGTTTCCTTGTTTTCCTCCATACTTCCCCTGCGGCTTCCTCATCTTCTTCCTCAGTGCTACATCGGTGAAGACATGAAGCCCTAAAACTGATGCTGGCCTCTGATGTAGCTTTGTTTCTTTTTGCGCATGCTGATGAAGTGGCTTATGGGAACGTGTTGCTGTGTTGTAACTAACCCTGCATCCTTCTTTTCTCTGCTAGATCCACACAGGTTTGCAACACCAGATAATTTGGCCCTGCCAGCCCAGCTGTTTGCCACTGGATGAAAAACTCCTCCCAGAGCTGCTTCAAGAGGCAGGATACGTTACTCACATGGTGGGGAAGTGGCATTTAGGGATGTACAGAAAAGAATGCCTTCCAACCCGCAGAGGATTTGATACTTACTTTGGTAATGGTTAGATTTAACATGGGTAGCAAATGCAGAGTTAAAAATTATGAGAAACTGCCTGTTTCCTCTAAAACTGGCAAATTTACTAGTAGTGTATAAGTAAATCAATACCTGGGCATCCATGTTTTCCAAAGTAAAATAAGGTAGTGCCTTAAACGTATGCCCAAGCCTTACAACTTATTGAAGAAAGTATCATAAATATTTAGTGGCTCCAAAGAAAGTAGTTCTCTCGTCTGATCTGCATTTAACTTGATTCCTGATGATTAGAAGATTTAAGGTGTAGTGATTAGATTGGTTTTATAAGTGTCTTTAATCTGAACATTTTGTGTTAGATCAGACAGCAGACATTGTTTGCTCTGCAAATAATGTTACACTTCTAAAAGCTGATATTTTGAAGAGAGAAATAGACATCATAGTGCACTGTGGTCCTGCTTTGTGAATAGAGTAGCATTGGTTTTCCAGAACCTGAAGCAAGCAAAAGGGTGCGAGAGCCTCTGTAGAACAGTATCCAAAAGGTCTGTTGCAGGAACTCACGATTTATGAAGTCAAATCCTCAGATGTAAAAAATAATTCCAGAATGAGATTGTCCAAGTGTGAGTGTGTTACAAAGCTTACTTGGAGCTACACGTTGTTTATTCTTCCTCTCGCAGAGGCTCATGTCCCAATATGGATTTTACGTCTGCTAGATTTGCACAAGTGCCACTAATGTCAGGTGAATCAGGCTCCCTGCAATACATTTCATTCTCTGTGGCCCTGAATGCGAAGTTGTCTCTCTCCACTGGATTGTTTTTAAGACACTTCCATTAAATGTAGCATTTCTAAACAATTCATTGTCTTCAAAATAACTTTCCAAGCTGTTGATAGTACTGCTGCACCCGTCTACAGCTGAGAAAGTAAGATACAGATAAGCTTACGCTGAAGTCCGTGTTCCTCTTGCCTAACTTTAGGTACTCAAGTGAAGAGCCTGGCTGTGGTATGTGCGTGTTACAGACAGCGATGATCGAAACTTTAGGTGGGAAGAGCTGCTCCCTTAGATTTTGTCTCTTGACTCATCAGGGAGCTTGAAGCTGTGGTTTCACAACAGAATTAAGCTAATATATGTGGATGGATCGTAATGTAACAGCTAGTTGCTTAAACATATATACCTCCTCCCGTCCCTTCACAGGTGCTTGGGGTCTTTTTGACGTCATAGATGTAGATGGGCTGGCTGTCCTTGTGGAATCTCACCCTGGGACCGAGAAGGCTCTTAATGCGGGGGCCTTAATACAGGCTGGCTCTGGGCATGGTCATTGAGTGCCCAGTGTGACATTATTTTTCAGAGAATGTAGCAGTTTAATATCCTATAAGGTTCATGTAATTCCAGTAGGTGTTGATTGCAATTAAGGGGCATTTGATTCTTCAGCAAACTTGATGCAGTGTCTCCCACACAGGACAAAAAAATGGAAAAATGGACAAAATGGAAAAATGCAACTTGCGGCTCTGAGTACATTGATGTAGGCAGTCTGCCCACAAAACCTCTCCTTATGCTTTGAAAAAAAAGCCTTTTTTTCCTCCTAAAAATGTATTAGAGTTTCATACTATTTTAAAAACAGAACGTCATTCTTTCTGTACCTACTTCCCCCCCCCTCCCCCGGAGCTGTATGTGCAGCTGGTGAATAAAAATTCAAGTTCCTCTGGTTTGGATTTTTGTCCTCAATTTTAGTTTTATTTTGCAGAACTTAAGAATATATTTTACAGATTTGTCTGGTTTTTTAGGGTATTGGGGGATAAATCTGAAATCTAATTTCCAAAGTAGCAATTACTGAGATTCAAAAAATTTTGAAAAAGTTTGTTTCTGATCAATAAAAAGCAAAAGCACTCAATGCTTAACAGCATAGCCCTTGATAGGAGCAAATTTATATGTCTGTAGTTTTTGCATAGTTTCTTTTGGGTGTCTTTAAACGGTAGTGTCTTTTTTTCACCAGTTGGTGTCAGTAGCGGATCAGAAGTTGCTTTACAGCTGACAAAAAAATGCGTCATGCTCGGATGTTTTTTGATAAATTAAAAAAAATTCCAAACTTACGTGAAAATACAATTATGCAAAATCACACCAGCTAAAAATCAGGATAGTACATGTGTAGGTCACTGCCTTTTTTATCAGTGCATTAGTTTGATGCTAATCTATTTGTGTCAAGTTATGAAGTCATTGAACTGCTTTCAGAATGTTTCGTGTGTTTTGAAAGTACGACTTATATTAACAATAAAAAGTCTATGAAGTATTAAAGGTTGAGCTACTTAGACCTGTGAAGGGATGTTGTTGCAGACGGTCAAATGCTGAATGAATGTTTCAGCTCAAAAACACTAAAGTTTTGACCTTTTTTTTTCACTTTTTTTTTTCCCCCTAATGTATCTCTTTATATGACATTATGTTGGCCCACTTATTTGACATCTTTTCCTGTTGTAGGCTATCTTCTGGGGAGTGAGGATTATTATTCTCATGACCGTTGTGTCCTGATCAAAGCAAAGAATGTAACGCGCTGCGCTCTGGACTTCCGAGATGGAGAAGAAGTTGCAACTGGGTTTAAAAACATGTACTCTACTAATTTATTCACAGAAAGAGCTATAGATCTTATAGCAAATCATAAATCTGAGAAGGTACAGTCGGCAGCTGTTTTTGATAACTTTTTTAAAGCATTCTTTAGTGCTAAAATTAATGAGATATTGATGGAGACACCTGCCCTTGAGCAGTAATTCGGGCCTTTTCAGCAGGGTGCATAGAGGTGAATGTGAGAAGTAGTGCTGGTAAAACCTGCCTTGTTTGCTGTCAGAATCAGCTTTGGCTGCACAGCCCTGGCCTGCTACCCTTCTCCGTTTCTTTTTTAATAATAGAAGTAATGAATTTATAGAAGTGATTTAGCATGTAGCTTGCTTTTCTAAAAAAGAATGGAAAGTTTAAGGGGAGAAGTTTTATAGAAAGAAACTGTTAACAACTGTGTTATGAAGAAAAGATGCACCTGATGTTTTCCCACAGCTTTACAAAAGTCCTTTATCAAAGTTTTATTCGGTAGTGCTTAGGGATCAGAAGAGAGAAGTGTAGAAGAAATCAAAACACAGTGCCTGCAGCTGTTGATGAATCAGGGCTGCTTTTGCTGTGGTAACTTTTATGTTTAGTACTTTATGTTCAACTAATTTCCATTCTATCCCTTCTACCCCAGCCCCTCTTTCTCTACCTTGCTTTTCAGTCTGTCCATGAACCTCTCGAGGTCCCTGAAGAATACTTGAAGGCGTATTCCTCCATTAAAGATGTGAAGAGGCGTCATTATGCAGGGATGGTGACTCTTATGGATGAAGCTGTAGGAAATCTTACTGATGCTCTGAAAAGATACGGTCTTTGGGACAACACAGTTCTTGTTTTCTCTACTGGTGAGTTCATTTAAGTATTCTTTCAGTAATCACTTTGATAGAGTGTCTAAGAAGCTGACTGCAGAGACTTATGGCCCCTCTGTCCTTCCTCCATGTATTTTCTAACTACCAAAGAGTGATGAAAGTGAAACAGGCTTTATACCAGAAGGGGCAGTTTCTCTCCCACCTCTTACAGCTTTCTCAAGCATGGCAAAAACAAGTCTGAAGAAGTGTCTATGCAAATGAGGAATACTCCTGTTGGAGTAAAAACAGTATTGTTAGAACTGAGGAGTATGGTGAAGTTGGAGGCATCTTACTTGCCCCAGTGGTTACTGAGTTTCTGTCGGAATCAAATCCTTACTGAGCACGATCTACCAAATTATTTGTCCTGAGCTATAGGTAGCCGTCTGATTAGTCTAGAAGTTGCCACATGTTGCATGAAGTACGAACAGCCAGACAGCAAGCAGTTGGAAGCCCAAACTCTTTATTTCCCTTGTTTTCATATAACGTGTAATTTTTGACTTGCTTGAGATATTTAATTGGCACCGTACTCCCATGAAGCAAAGGTCTGTTCATAAAAAAGCTTAATATGCAATGATACAGTCTGGGCTGCCAAATTACAGGCTGAGTTTTTGTATCTACTAGCACACGATCTGTTTTCTAGATTATTAGGATAACACAAATAATACATTACAAAGCAGTCTCCTTTGTTTCCAAATTAGGAATGAAACAGAACCTTTTTGATATACAGCTGCTTGGCAGGGTTTCAGGAACATAGTTGTTCTTGTTTGATTGGGAGTGGGAAGTAGCCTTTCAGTGCTTACTGTTACTCTTTTGCCCAGGCATTGCATATTAGGGCTGTCAAAATGGCAAATTAATTTTCTACGAACACTAAAAAAACCAAAACCCACACCAAAAAACACAAACCCCAAGTTTTGATGAAAATGCAGTGATGTGTTTTGAGTTCAGCAGCTGTTTCCTGTAGCACTCGGAATCTTGGAATTTCATTTTGAGTCCAAACCTGTTTGCGTTGTGGTTTTACATTTGTGTCCAGGTTTTGGCTCTAAAAGGATTCAATAAGTCGTCTGTGCCTGTTTCTGTTTACGATGTTTTCATATTTAGAACTGAAAGTAAGCAAAGCCATGTGGAAAATGATACCGATATTTATTCCAAGTGAAAGGAATCCAGTCTTTGCTGATGGGGTCTGGGTAGAGTTATTTCAGTGATGTTTGTTCGGTACATTGTGACATAAAACTAAAGACATCTGAGTTGGAATTACAGGGTATGACTGAATTAAAAAGATAAATTTATTTTTTTGTTGATAAACCATTTTTTTCCAAACAACGATAGTATATCCTGCTTTTAACAGTAGTTATCTTGTAATCAGTTACAGGTATGTTTCAACAAGAGTCAAACGGTCAGGAGAATCCAGTCTCTGCCCTATCTAATAGAATTTATCTTGAGTTAATTGACATCTTAAGCTGTTGGGAATGGAGTTTAATGTAACTGAAATGCAGGGAAATTGGGCCTAGATCAAGCAGGTCAGGGGACAGTGACTCAGGTATTTTCAGTGTTCTCTCTTCACTTCAAACAACTGATCTTTTCAGGGATAAAACATTGCAGGCATTAAAGACCCAGTTTCCAAAGAACAAATGTTGAAACCATTAGGCATTTAAAAAAAAAAAGCGTGAAATCTATTCAGCTTTTCTATATTATATTTATCTGTTTTGCAGATGGTGTGTTTTAAAATTGGCATTAGAAAGTGGTTGAAAAGAAACACGAGAGGGTCTGCAGTTGAGTGTCTTGTTCAGAGTTGTGCTGTGTGAGATCTCTGCATGGATTTCAAGTCCTTTGTAAATGGGAGTCTTAGTGTGCCTTGCTGTAGGTATAATATGGGTGTCTACTTATAGTATGATATTACCTTCAGCTCCTGAGCGCATGCCTGCTCAAGGAAGCTGTGTCCCCTCTCCCTGCCCCAGCTACTCTCCTGGGACTGGAAAACCCTCCTTTTGCTCAGTATGGCAAGAGAGACACATTTACCTTTACAAACAGGAAATCTCTCTGAGAAAGTTCTGCCCATGTTTTGTGGTTAAGAATTAATTTAAGGATTTAAATAAAGACTGCGAGGGAAAATCTAGGAAAGGATAAAGCCTATCCATAACTTTAATGAGCAGCACCTATGTGTCTCCTCAGCGTAATAGTTAAAGACACAGCATCATAAAAACACTCTGGCTTGTTTTAAGCCTGTGTGGTTTGATGACTGTAGTGTTGGAAACCTGTAGAGGAAAAAAAAGTGAAGACCCTACTTTGTGGTAGATTTTACTAGATTCGTTACTAGTCCCTGTTTAGCTGCAGCCGAAATTCACACTCAGATGTTTGCATCTCTCACTGCTTCAAAATTCACCCCCCTGCAAAATAATTTACAAGCGATACTTGCTTTCGCATGCTATAGCAAGTAGCATTGCAATAAACATACAGTCTTACGGTTCATTCCTTCACTGTGAAGTGTTGACCCCAAAATTAGAGATCTCTTTTTAGTGAGTGCTCGCTGAAATACTCTAGAACATGGTGTAATCTTTGCTGTCATGGTAGATGTCTTTTGATTAAAGTCTTTCATATTTCTTCCTATTTGTACGTATTGTGGCTCAGCCAGGATTGCCTTGAGAACATGCCAGTTGGCTAATGGAAATACTGCATGTTTTTAAAGGGCTTTGTAAAATGTATGGAAGAACTCCATTTCCTCTTTGAAGAGAACTGATGGAGATAGCAGGCTAAAAGTGAAATAATCTGATGATTAGCAAAATCTGTCTCCATCAGCATATCGTGTAAATCGCCATCTCTGGTGTCTTTGGACAGATGCACAAGCTATTTCTACATGTAAATAAGAAAAAGGGAAAGATAAGTTAGTTCAATGGTATGTCATGTAATATTTGTGTATCAAGTAGTAGCTTGAAAAGTCTTGACTGGTGCGATATGAAATAAAATTTGCTTTTACAGACTGGCTTTTATACTGCAGATACAAGTGAAGTCTATGCTAATGAGATCAGTGGTGAAAATGAAGTCATTGCCTGTTCCAGGAAAACAGATAAAAATAGATGCAGCAATGTCTTGGGTACCTATGGCCTTTTATCCACTTTGAATCAAAGAGAATGAGATGTAATGTTTATTTTTCTTTTTAGGAAGCATAAGAGATTACAACTACCAACTTTTCCTGAAGAGACCTTGATTTAAAATAAATAAAGGTCATAAAAAGCATTTAAGTGGTTCAAATTTACCTCAGCACTATTAACACTGCCTTAGAGTCCAAGTTTTGCTTCAAATATAGGCCTGTGCTTTGAGGTAAGAAGTGAGGGTTTGCCGTGAATAGCATGTGTTTATAGTTTCTGCAACATATTGTAAGTAATTTCAGTGGAAACTTGCCAATGTAAGAGGAAAGGAATCTGACCTCTAATTTCAGTTCTGTATTAAAACTACTATCCTTTGCTCTATTTAACCTTCAGCTTTTTAATATGCTAGTAGTTTTGAAACAAAACTTCTTACTGCTCTTACTTCCAATATATCTGTTAATTCTTAAATGTGGATTAGCACTGTAGTGTCTGGTAGTTGCCATAAGAGGGCTTTAAACAGTAAAATATGTGGAACTTTTCAAACCTTGGTTCACGTTGCTCAGAGGAAACCACATAAATCCTTTCCATAATGGAGCATGTGACAGTGATGACTCTTTTCCTTCCAGAAGAGGATTTTTTTGTCATTTTAGAATTGTGATTAATAAGAGCTTAGATTGTTTTGGACATACTTAGTGATGTTTTTACAGGCTCTCTCTCACCCCTAGTTTTTTTTTCCCCAAAAATTTCATATCACCCTAATAAAGACTTTCTCTCAGTCTGTTTTGTTATTTTTGTTTGGGTTTTTTTTTGTGTGTGTGTGTATGGTTTTTTTTCCCCATTCCAGACAACATGTTGTGGCTTTTGTCTAATAAAATGTTGGGATTTGTTTTGCCTTTTTCCAGCTCCTACTTTGGTAGAAACCAGGGATCTGACTTTTACTAGTTCCCTGAGGCAGTTTTTTATCTTCCTCCTGATGTCTTTGTTCCTGAATGAACTCCTGCTCTTTCTCTTTTGCCGATAAGGGACTTCAGAGAGACTTTTAATTGTAGATTGTCCAAGCCAATTGAAGGACAGATTAGTTAGAGCAGTTATTGTCTGGCTGTGGTGCTAGAGGTTCTAATTTTAAAGGTTGCATTGTCAGATTTTTTTTTTTAGTAAACCTGCTCAATTATGGATCTGAAGACTCACTTTAATTGGTCTTGTCAGGAGGTTCTGGGAGGTTCAGTACGTTGCCAGCAAGGAAGATGCCTGGACATCTACTGCCTGAGCATCTGCTGCTTCCTAAGAGGAAATAAGCACAGGTGCCTTAGCTGCAAGCACCTTCAATCGAACTAGTTATTTGAGTCCCTATATTCCCAAATATTACATTTCTGTTTCTTGATTATTTAAGCTTGTTATTATACAGGCAAAAGTTGTGGCTGATCGCTGAACTTGGCATTGGTCCGAGTTGTTGCATGTCAATGATAGTGAAAGGTTCATGTGGTTGGTGTTTTGTACTCCAGTGTTGGCTTTTATTCTTTTTTTAGGCTTATTCCACATTAAATTATGGGTGGTAAGAATAAATTTCCTGGAATGAAAAGAATATCTTCTCTGCCATATCATGCAGATAATAGTAATGAGACATGTAGTCTGTTTTGTAAGAGTGTATTATCAAAGGTGGAAATGTTATGATGGAAATTAATTTCAAAATGAAAACTGAGAAGTTGCTGATAGTCAATAGGTTGACAGGTTTGTCCTTCTGTTTTAAAATCCTGTGAAAACCCAAGATGTTTTGTAGGAAATGTTTATGTATCTTCCCTTCCTTCTACCATTAACCTCTCCCCATCCACCCTGCATTTTCTGTGCAAAACCTAACACTCCAAGCCCAAGTCCCTTAATAGAGGTTGACCTTGTGCCAGACACTCACTTCTGTTT